GGGTGGTGCAGCATGCGTAGAGGATGAGGTTGCTACGAAGAGGCTGCTTGTGAACGGCTGCGACGGGTATGGTCTGCCATCATCATCATCTGAGCTACGAATCGCGGGGTGTCACGTGAATCAGGTGATGAAGGGCAACGAAGGGCATGGTAGGTCTGTTTCCCCCCGGACTACCAGTGAGAGGTCACCGGCAGGTTCGGTGGTTTTGTCTTGCTACGTGGCAAGTGAGGAGTAAAGTGAAGCCACGGTCCGTTAGTCCTTATCGTTCAGCCTTATGTTATTGATGGCCGAGAGAACGGCTACGTGAGGGTTGAGTTGCCTTCGGGCCGATAAGGGAGGGGGTGAAGGATCGGGGGGTGACAGACACAACATGATAAGAGGTCGGTTTGTATGCTTCGATCCATAGTTTCGAGGATTGTCTGTTGCTCTTCGTGGCTGGATGATTGAGTGATCGCGTTTTCTTACGATCTAGTTCTTGTTCAATTTGAGGATTGTAAATCAGAGTTTGGATTCTGATTTCTGTTTTTCAATTTTTTTTTTTTTATTTTTTTTTTTTTGAATCATTAGGATTTCTCTATTTTGGATTTATCACGATAGGTAGCTTTAGGTTTTTAGTTCGAATTTGATTCAATGCAGCGGGCTCAGGAATGATTTCAAACTTTTTCGAATAATTCTCAATTTGATCCTTTCTTGTTGATGTCGTGAATCAGAGCTTCCTCTCTTATCTCAAATAAAGTCTTCTAAGCTTTTAGATTCTTAATGTTTTTTTTTCCCAAATAAAGATCTGGAAATTTTCTCTGAATAAGATTCCTAATTTGAAATTCATAAATCACAGCTCTGCTCTGATTCTAATAAAAGATTAGCGGGATTGATGTCTCACGGTTTTTCAAAATTGATCTAATTCTTTATTTGTCGTGTTTCTCTATTTTAGTAAGCTCAAGTTTGTGCTTTTCTACCTTGCCTTATATTATTGAGCTCAATTTTGTGCTCTTATATCTTGAATTCGATACCTGATTCGATATTAGAGTTTATCTGTTTGAGGGATCTTCAAAAAGTAGGTCATAATTGCGTCTCAGGCTGCGATACCGTAAAGTAGGTCATAGGTGCTGATTGAACTCGCTCCTTCAGGGTTGAGCCCCACCCTGCCAGGGTTATGCAAGGTGGGAGGTGTGATCCTCGAAAGGGTAGGGGTGGTTTGTGGGTTTGTTCTCTTTTGGGCCAGGCTGATTTGGGTTGGATGCGCTGAGGCGGTTGGGAGAGAGGACAAAGGGTCGATGCTAACTTCAGCAAGGTGAGAGGTTGCAAGGTGTTTCACTTGGAGGGGGTGGGACATGGGGGAAGGGTGATCTTCTACTCTGCGGGGGCATACTCTAGGAGGTATTGTATGTTGCTGAGGGAGCAGGAGGGATTTAGGGGACTGCTCTGAACTGGGACTGAAAGGTGAGGGGGCACCTTCCAGTGGAGGCAGTGAAAGGGAAGGAGGTCGTTCTGTGTGGGGGGAGAGTAAGCCGCTGGGTTTCTTGTGAGCCTTACCTCCAACGGAGACGGAAATAGGCGCAGAAATTTCCATGGGTAGAGAAGAAGTTCCCTTCCATCCTCTCTTCTTGTGGGATTAATATGCCTTATATGACTACTTGTTTTTCATAACCTTTTGATTTCTGAGTTGCTTGTCTATGTTTTATGAGCCAGGTGTTTCAGGGAGGTGTGGTGATGCACTTATTAGGGTGAGGGTGTTCACCTGATTTCTGCCATTTCTCCTCTTGCGAACTATGGGTGAAGGAGGTCGGCTCGTCGTGAGAGGAGGATTGTGTTGAGGTAGGTGTGTGGTTGTGGCTGTTGTTCTCATCCCGCGAACTATGTGGTGGAGGAGGTCAGCTCGCCGAGGGATGAAGAAGAGTAGGGGGTTGAAGGGAAGAGGGAGGCGGGTTCCGTTGATTGCCGCTGGCTCGTAAAATTCATTCAAAAGTTTTTTATGGCGGACTACTTTTTTTCTTCTTCGAACTATGTGGTGGAGGAGGTCGGCTCGTCGAAGAAAGATGAATAGTTGAAGTCCATACGCGGATGGCTGATTGGTGGTCTTAAGAATGTTTTTTGGACTCTAGGGATTCCTAGCAACTCTTCTTAGGTGGCTTCGATATTGTTATACTCAGTGACCTGTGGCTGTTCGATGCCAGAACGACGCTGGTCGATGCTGGGGTGTTGCCCTGTGACCTGCTGATGCAAGGAGCGTGAGGCCTGGTAGAGAGATCTGGGGATGCTTTGGGGTGGGCATTCCACAGGACAACTAAGGGTTGTTGTTGGGACGACGCTGGTCGGAGCTGGGGTGAGTTGTGTTGCCCTGTAACCCAGCAGGATGTGGGGGTGTGAGACCTGGAAGAGCTCGGCAGGGAGTAGGACAGTGTTGGAGTGTTTTGGAAGGGTTTGTTAGGGATTTCAAGGGTTTTTTAGCATTTGTAGGACCTATGAGTCTATTCCTATGTTTTTCGTATTGCTCAGACGTTTTCTAAAGAGACTGAGGTGAGTTGGAGAAGGAGAAGGTGGGATATTACGCGCCCTGCTAGTAAGGGAGCTAGCTGGTAGGACGGGAATAGGGTACAGCAGCAGCGGAGATGGTGGCTCTGCTGCAGTAAGTCTTGCCGGAGTGGGGTGCAGGGGACGGATTGGGGGTGTCTGAGTCTTTTAGGTGAGTGGGAGAAATAGATGGTGGGATATCAAGCGTCCTACTAGTGCGGGGGCTAGCTGGTAGGATGGAAATAGGGTACAGCAGCAACGGAGATGGTGGCTCTGTTGCAGTAAGTCTTGCCGGAGTGAGGTAAA